TGTGTATATAGTGACCATAGTTTGTATGTCTGGGATATCACTGATGTCAAGAAAGTTGGCAAGATTAGGTCCTCACTTTATCACAGTGCCTGTGTATGGGGTTTGGAGGTATGTCCAATTATGTTGACAAGCAATTAGCAGACAAACAAATTGGATGATTGACTGACTGACTCATTTTATTGATTGACTAGTTGATTGAAGATTGACTGATTGGTTGTTGATTAACTGATTGATTGACTGATTGATTGACTGATTGAGCATGAAGAAAACTGACAAGTCAAAATCAACTTCAATTGCTCACTATCATGATTGTGCTAAATTGCAGTATCTAGTGTCATGTTTTACGACTTTTGGTTTTATGCAAAATACTTAGGATCCTGTTGCTTGGGTGTATAATATTATTAATAACTGTATTCTAGGTTTATCCTGATATTCCCCCAGAAGCAAGCAGTGAATCGCCAATGCCACCAGGAACATTCTTCACTGCCTCTAATGATGATACTGTCAGAGTCTGGAATATTGAGGAAGGTATGGTCAAACACTTGCCTCCTTTGTAGCCTGCCCTTTTGTTGAGCTTCCCGTCTCTCTCCAAACACAGGAAACCCAACAAAAGGTCTGCAAAGGAGATGAGTCAAACACTTCCAAGTTTATTGCAACTGAGAGAGAAATGGCAAAATATTGAAATTCCTTTTGTTGTTATACAGGATTAGATATTTCTACGGTAAAGAATATCTATAGCAAGGTAATGTTTAATTGGTTTTATTTTTAATGCCAAATTGGCATCTTTCTTGGTAACAGCTTGGACTGATTTCTTCTTGATATTTTCTCAGGAGCTTCTAAGAATCCTATATGTAGATCCAGCGTATTCAAACTTGAAGGACACTGAAATGAATCCCAGTAAGTATACACCTCTTTCTTKTCTAGTTGAATAACATTAATAACAAATCCACCAAAGTACGGTTTAGCTCTTTAAACACATCCCTAAAGCAAGTTGTTTTTCAGCMTCTAAGAATGTCCGTGATGTTGGTCCAGAGAGTAAGGGAGGTGTTCGTTGTATTCGTGCAAGTCCTGATGGATTATTGTTAGCTGTTGGTGAGAGATCTGGCAATGTTAGGTATGAAAACCTGAATGAAATAATCATAAAAATCTTGATAGAATTTTCAACAAATTGGAGTGTCATTAAATAAAGGACTATAAATATTAAATGCTGACAGTGGATATCTTATTTCTAGAGTATATGAATTTATGTTCTTYGATGAGATATTAAATATTGATGCTCATGAGTCAGAAGTCCTTTGTCTTGAGTTCTCTCCTCCTGAGTCAGGTAAATATACAGTATGTTGAAGTATGTTTTACCTGGTTGGTAGAGCACCTTACTATTGTGTAGGTGGTCAATGCTTCTGTTCAAGGCCAGACAAATACTCACATTCTTAGACTTATTGACAAGGTGTTACTAAATGTTTTTTTCTACAATTT